GAGAATGCCCTTGCTCTAACTACGTCCCTTAATCTGTCTAAATCAAAATACTTAATTCTGAGAACTGCCACTATGGATGCAGGGTTCAAAATATTTCCCTCTTATTACCAACTTTGTAAAACCAAAAAAGAATGTTTTTTTGGAAAAACGTGAAGTAACTGAGTGGGGAGCGAACGTTCCTCTTCAGGCAATGCTGGACCACACATCGTCAAGGATCCTTTCCCTCACGTCCATGAATGTTGAGACCCTCTCAAGCAAAAAAAAATTGAAGCTTATTTCAAAATGGGGATGTGACGGCTCATCTACTCAGGACCTCTACAAACAACGATTTTCGTTATTATCACAAATAAAGATTGGGAACGTAAAGAGAAGTCTTGAATTGTAATTTATATAATATGTTCTATTGCTAGTTTTATATACCTACTATAAGTAGGTATGTGCAGAGTTCCTTAACTAATTGTTTATTCTTTATTTTATGGAACAAATGATCATGTTTGAGTTTTTTTTTTATAAATATATTAAACGTTTTTCTGTATATTAGCTTCATAATACCTTCACATCGTGATTCTATTTAAAATATTAATTTATTATGGTGGGGTATCATTTTACCTCGAGCCAATGGGTAAAACGATCCTTTTGCAGTCTTATATAAAAATAATTATAAATTAAAAATGGTTGAGAATTTAAGGCAATTTTTTTTACAAAAATGTAGCTAAGTCACAGTTTAATAATCTATTACAATGACGTTTTTTTTTCTTAATAATTTCCGAGATACACTTAGAGACATCACTTTACCAGGGTCTCCCCTACATGTCGGACTGCGCACATTACAATATTTGTTGCTACGCGAATTTTGGATTTTGTTTAGTCGGCGAGCTATTGAACATACCCTAGGGCAATGCAATAGATGTTTTCACGTAAATCCAAAATCATTAACTCCTTTCATGGGCGAACTACCTAAACCACGAGTAACTCAAGCGAAGGTCTTCTCTCACTGTGGAGTAGATTTTGCCGGTCCGTTCTCTATTATAATGGGGAGGCGTCGAGGTTTATCTCGTTTGAAGGCTTACGTTTGCGTTTTTGTTTGCTTCGCGGTAAAAACCATTCATCTAGAACTAGTATCGGACTTAACGTCGGCAGGATTTTTAGGGGCTTTGCGTCGTCTGGTGGCAGGCCGAAGACATCGACTTATGTAGTGATTGCGGCACAAATTTCGTCGGTGCCAATAATCTCCTCCATGAATATATGCAATCGGCAGGCGGTAGTTGCGCCATAAAATGGCACTGTAACCCCCCCATCGGCTCCTCATAAGGGGGGATTATGGGAAGCGGTATTAAATTCGCGACCGTTGTGTCCTATTTCGGCGGATAATCTGGACGATTTATTGGTACTGACGCCCGGACATTTATTGACCACAGAACCAATGGTGGCGATCCCTGACGAACGAAGGTGACATCTCATTCAACGCGTCCATCAGGATTTTTTGTGTCGATGGCATCAAGGATATCTCCACACTTTGCAACAACGCAATAAGTGGAACACATCCCATAACCCACCCGCAGTGGATGCGCTTGTGGTAATAAAGGGCGATTTGGCACCCCCGTTGCTATGGCAACTTGGCAGAATTGTGTCAATGCATCCCGGTAAAGACGGGATAGTGCGAGTGGCACAAGTGCGCACCACGAACGGGGCAGTTACGCGTCCTTTGGTAAAGCTCTGCCCGTTACCCCGTCAATAGTTTACGCATACCCCACATAGTCAATTAGTTAGTTTTCGATCATAACTTTAGTTTTTAATTGTGCTGAAACCCATGTAAAAAAACTGTTTATTTTTCTTTTAGTGGGTGGAATATTCCGGTTCAAAGTTTGTTCGATATTTTGTTTTAATTTTGTTTGTTTCTCCCGCGGAATGCTGACAAACGTATTTCGGTTACTTCCCGTTAGGGGCGCCATAGTACCAAGCAAAAACCTCACTACTAGGGGTTGGGGTTATCAAAAAACCATCATAAAGGTAACATGGAGAAGGTAGGCGTTAGGTGAATATAGTTGCCATCTTTCGTTTTTTATGTGAGTTATTTAAAGTTTTCAAACTGAGAAATATAATTACCCATATATTTACTATAATTACTGAATAACTACTAAAGAATAATGGTTAATTATTCATGTTTGCGAGAGAAACAATAACAATCGATGCGCTGCAAGTTTATGTTGAGGCTCAGAAAACACTCTTAATGAACGATTAACGACTCGTATGCGACACAGTTACGGAGAATGTATAGGCGGAAATGGTGAACTTATTTTTCTTGATGCACTAGGAGGCACAAGAAAAACATTTCTACTCAATCTAATGCCGAAATTCGAATGAAGCATGAGATTGCTCTAGCTGTGGCATCATCGGAATTGCAGAGCAACGCTACTTGATGGAGGACTCACGGCGCATTCGGCTCTCAAGCTGCCATTGAATTTACATCTAGCTGCAGATCGTCTTTGCAACATTGTAAAATCATTTCAACTGGCAACTGTATTTTGAAAACATGGCAACTCATTATTTGGGATGAATGTACCGTAGCCCATAAGAAAGGACTTGAGGCACTTGAACGTACTCTGCGAGATTTTCGAAACATTCAACGTCCAATGAACGGAGCTCTGATACCGCCCACCGGTGATTTCCATCAAATGCCTTAACAATTATCTGAAGACGTGAAGAAAACTACACTGTAGACCAAAATGTGTGCGCATATTTGGAGTTGTTTCTGCACAAATCCATTGACACCGTTGCAGAAGAGAATCAAGCTGTTAATTATCACATTCGAATTTCTCAATTTATTGGAGCTTTCTGGAATACCATATTGACGTTGAAAGTTGGCTAACCAATACTGCTCGTTCGGAATTTGAACACGCCAAAGTCGTGGAACGGAACCAGACTTTCCGAGAAAAAAACTGTTTTAGAATCCCAAAATTATAAAATGTGTCTTCAGACGAGTTTCTCAGACATGAGTGCCCTAAAATATCTGATGAAACGTGTATTTTATATTATTTTTTCTACTTCGGACCTTTTTTCCGTTAAAAAAAAGGAATCAATTAAGCAGTCGAGAAAAAACATTCCACACTGTAAATCATGTGGTTGACTTTCGCCAATTTTCTGACTACATTTTTAACTTCGAAAATATTATTTGGAATTTACAATGGTACGCACAATTCAATCTACATGACATACACTGTAACTGAATACATTGACAACCAAATATACCAACTTATGAATTTGGTTACAAATTTTTAAAAACATGAGGTAAACAGCTTAGTACACCAAACTATTTGGATGGTGCAGAAAGTGCCATCCATGTATGTACGAACGTTGTTAATTTGTAGAATTGTTAAATTTTTACCCCGAGAATCTCCCAAACGTGACCAAAATTGAAAGATATGGTGAGAAATCACGTCAAAGAAAACCTTCCGATAAGCATAGGGGAGACTGCAAAATGTCAGACAATGTTCGTGGTTTTGAAGCATTTGAAGTTCCATCCGTACATAATTTTTAGATTTAGCTCTGGTCCATTTTACATGGTTTTCCGATAAACCAGCGCACTTGATGTGTAGGAGACCATGGTAAATATCGCATAACACAGTGGTGGATTTATTTGAATCCGAGTTGCAAATTAAACTATATATATAATAGGAAGGAAATTATAAGGACACTTTGTTTCACACTCCTGCCGCCTATCAGGGTGACTAACAAAAACTCACAAGAGGTCACGGATGGGTTCACCACAAGAGAAGCAGGGGGAAATTTAAACGCCAAAGTAGTTTGACCCATAGCAAAAGCAACTGGCAAACTATAAAAATTATAGATATGTGGTGAAATGAATGATTACTATACTTAACACTTCGTTCACAATTAAAAGTCTACGTCCGTATGCTATATATTCTATTGCAAATTGTAATCGACGAGGTTCATAACTTTTGACTGCATACACAACACCAGTAGAACAACGTCGATGACGGTAGTATATGGCAATGTACCCAGGACTCAAACAAGCACATCCAGTATAACAAAATGACAAATGCAGTAGCGATGTGTGTACCAAAAACAAACAAAAATGAACGGATCAGTGTTTATCAAAGAACACATCCTTGGACTCCGAAAAAATCTCACAATTATGATACGCCGCTTAACACTGATAGATCGAGCAGTGTAAGTAATGAGTGCATACGTGTTCGATACGATTCGTTAACGATTATTATTAATATCTAAGCGTTATAGATGTATGCGACTGTAGTATTTGTACGATCCAAAGTGGAGGACATCCTCCCCGTAGAGAATATACAAAACTCCTCCTTATCCCATTTTCGAGGCCCCTACAAATACCGAACTAGGGAAAACCGGGCCCATTGGGCCACTATTCTTAAGTACCAATTCCAAACATACAATTAGATTAACTTTGTCGTACTACTGTATCAAGTAGTCGAAGTGTAATGACTGCAGATGCACAGCGCAAAATGTACCTTTCCAGTGACGCAGAATACACATTGGGAGCTAACTATTTAAGCTGTGTTTTACCTATTCGAGTGGTATAATTCATATGGGCAGTAGGACAAAAGACTTGGAGTAATTACTTAACCCTATAAAAAAACAAAGCTTACTCGAAAGGTAGATTATGTAAATATGCGACGTAATTATTTTTTGTCTAGCCTATTATGCAGTAAACGGTAGGCAACTGTATGTATCACCAACGTTATATGCAGTACTATATACTTACACTTTACAATAAAGACATATATAGGTGCTTCCGATGAACTGCCGCGACTGTATATCCTGTGACCACATAGAATTTTGACATTGTGTTAACGTCATTGTGTTTAGTATGAAGAGGACGCTTAATTTAGTGCAATGCAACTATGACGCGTGCATGTGCTGATACGTGTTAATCCAGATGTTGTTTGACCGTAGAGGAGGTGCAAAGACGTCGGCGAGGCAAGCGAGTAGGCGTGGTCCCGACACGTCTGGTAGACGATACCACGTCTTCGGGGACATCCCTGGGTCAATCCCAAGAGCTCTGCCACCAAAAAAACGGAAACTGGTAACCCTAACCTTTGTTACTCCACACACGAACCGTGCTAAAATGCGACCACACGACAACCTCCACACTGAGAATTCCGAACATCCTTGGACGTCAGCGATACGTTAACCCACTTCTACTCTGACCGAATATTTTGTGACTCGATCGTTCCATAACAGTTTGTCCTTTCATACTAGTATCACACATGTTTAATGTAATAGGAATAGGTGTTGGGAACGTTAGCAAAATCGTCCATATGGTATCTACTTTATGACAATCGTTAAACGCATTACTTCACAACGTAACTTAGTCGTAACATGCTGCGAGGTCATGTCTAGTGCATATATAGCTTATTCTGAATCGTGGTTACATCTGTTGTCGGTTACACGGTCCTATTTCCTATTTTATCTCCCACTGATATCGACTACATTGCGCTTGTATAACACCAGCCTTCATTACACTACACAAACATAGTCAATTTTCATATGACAAATTTATACACCGACGTATTTTACTCCCTGTATGTATTGACAGATGCCCACTGCTGCCCATGTTGCGCGGTATGATGCTATAGTGGCTGCGACCGTACCGGCGAGACTGCAAGGGCCCCAGCCCTCAACATCGCGGGCAAGCCGTCGCCCTAGCCACTGGCGTCGCCCTCGCCCTCGTGGTTGCCCTGCCTAAGTCCTGGTTGCGTGTCTCCGCAACAATCCGCCGCATCGAGGAACACCGAAGGCAGAGAGACCGCAGCAGAAAGCAGCGAAAACCCGGCGCAACGGATTAAAGAACTGGAAGGGGAGATGGCACTCTATAGGCGGCTCAACCGGGAGCTACAATAAGACGTCATCGCCAAAATGCGAGGTAATCGAGGTTCACTAGTTATGTATCACAAATATATTACGTATTTGTAGGCATTCAAATGTCGACACCACCGCAATGCCCGACCGCTGACCTCCTCATTGGTGCAAGAATTGGCGATCAAGTATATACGCATCCGTCAATATGGAACCCACATTGGCACCACACAGTGGACATAGTGCGTTACTATGGGTATTTCCATAATTCTATTATACACAATTATCGCAATCTTTCAGTGCGATGCTCGTCATAGATATCCGAGATGAGCACTGTACATGTCGATGCTGCACCAGCACTAGTATGTAGCGCACAGACGTGTTCACAGACCCATCTTGGACATGGTATTTACGTCAGCACCTCGCTCGCCGATGCTGCAAAGGCCAGGACACGAGATTCCCAGTTCGCAATAGAGTTAGCGGTCGCCGTTTTCGGGATTGAGACATTGCGGTGCTCGTATGTTACGGGAACGGGTAGTCGGCGGACACAGGCACCTGCGAAACCGGCGCTGAACCCGACTAAGCTGTTGGCGATACAAGGTACACGACACTATCGGGTGACTATGAATGTTTGTGCTGTGTTTGTCAGGTTGGCGACATAAGTAAAACTCTTTGATGGCATACCTAATATGAATGTGTACGTTTGGGCACCAATTCACTAGCTCCCATCTTATTGTTTTTTAAGCGCGCCCATGTCACAATGGACAACTGTGACTGACATGTTAACATAATTCAGAATTGCCAACCCAAGAATGTGCTTCAACTATTAATAGTTGCCCAGTAATATTGAGTAACGTAAACACACTATTCAACACTACGAAAGCACTCGTGTAAGCGATAAATGTATACAATAATAATCCACAGACACACATCCATGCGTACAATAGTACTATCCACTCGAAACAACTTCCGACATGTCAAAGGGGCATTAGTTTGTTAGGCGTAAAAATACCAAATTGGTTACTTGTAGGACCATTACCATTCCACTGTAACCTAGTATCTAAGAAAAATATTTTTTATGGTTCCGTATGCTGATGCTCTACTTCACTTGCCTCATCTGACAAGCCGCACATTGGGTACAGGCATAACGCCATAAACATACAGTAAAAGGGTAGCCTATTTAACAGGGATACATGTAAATGGCCTCTTCCAGGTTTCCTGAATCATCGTTAAGGGCTGTGCTACCGCGACGAGGCGACGATAGCCACTACAATTCGCAACGTAAAAAATATGGATAGGGGATAAAATCCAGGATTTGTGCCGAATACCCCACCTGCGTCGTAGGAGACGCTCCCCCGGTAATTACACACGCTATAGTAGAATTCTTTTAAGGTTGGCAAAGTGTTATAAAACACTAGAAGTACTCCACGCATGTACTCAACCGGAAAAGACCAGACAGGATCAAAATATGGCAAGTGAAGTCATGTAGTCGGACCTTTAACACCACGAATAGGACGTCGATCCTCAATATGGGTCGCCTTTGAACGTAAGTCACTCTCCATATCTATGGGATATTTGACGATTCTGCCTACAGTTCTTCCAGGATGCAACCGTAGTAGCCGTTATACCGCAACATGTTTTGAATAATCGGCCGAGCTACAGAGTCCACGATGTAAGCAAACGGTAGGAACTTGTACAGTGTATCTCCCACATACACACCGTCCTGAAATAGTCGGTTTGTCTGTTCTGCAAACGCCTCTATAATCGTACTCATCAACGCAACATCGGATTCGTGGGTTCTTACCCACACCAGCCAAAACAGTATTACGAAAACGATCAATTGGAGGCAATTCATTGATTATCATTTCAATAGGCCACATCGAGCGCTTAGATGATGCGAAAACTGGTGCGCCATCGATGTTAAAATTGTACGTAAAATGGAATTCGCACTGTCTTTTCAGTTCCCTGTACATGCTACCAGATGACACTATGCAACACTAAAAAATTCACAGAAAGTTCAGATAATGTTTGAGGTTGGGTCTACTCCATATACTAAAGAAAAAAATGTTTTATAGCCATATCACATCACATCACAAAACATAGATAACGGGTGTTTGGTTTTGTTACTTTTTGTCACACTTGATTGCAGTTAGTCGCAAAAATATAGCTTTTATGTATCCAAACATCATCAGAACAGTTGCGGCGACTATAGATTTGTAAAATGCCGCGCGCTTGTGTTAATTCCCCAAATATTTTTTGTTATATTTGTGGTCAATTTACTCCTAAATGTGAAAAAAGACCTATTTCACCGCAGCTTGCAACATGTTACCAAGCTTATTTCAAGACTCCTATAAAAAATGAAAACAAATCGTGGGTCCCCCAAGTGTGTTGCTTGAAATGTTATAAATACTTGACCGGTTGGTACAAGGGTACTGTAAAAGAAATGCCCTTTGGTGTACCGATGCAGTGGCGTGAGCCTAAAAACCACGTAGATGACTGCTACTTCTGCTTAACAAATGTAAAAGGTTTCATCAAAAAATCGAAAAATTCAGTGGAATATGCCGATGTATCATCTGTATATATGCCGCTACCTCATTCTTTCGAAATTCCCGTACCGAAACTATTTTCAAGATCATCAAGTTCTTCTACGGAAGAAGATTGCGAAACTCCTCCCTTCTGGCGCTGAAGTCTTTAAAGATCCAACTGTTGCAGATACACCACATTTAATTAGTCAAGCAGAGTTAAACGACCTTGTTAGAGACTTAGATTTAACCGAAGAAAAATCTGAAATGTTAGGATCCAGATTGAGACAGTGGGATCTTTTACAGAGTGACGTTAATACTACAGTTTACTGGAATCATCACAGTTCTTTAATTCACTTCTTTTCTAAAGAGGATAATTTAGTTTTTTGTAATAATATTAATGATTTAATGTTGGCATTGGGTCACCATCATTCGCCAGAAGAGTGGAGATTGTTTATTTCAACAGATATCGGTACACAGAGCGAGTGATCCATTAATTAAGGAAGATCTTCATCATCCTCCTCTTACCTGGACACTTGATTATATTACTTTCAATTCGCCGAAATCATTAACTTTTAATGATAATTTGCGTTACAATTACCGCAGAGCTGATTTTCCGGGATTATATAATGAACTGTTGAACACTGACTGGAATTTTTTACTTCAACTTACAGTTATAAATACAGCCTGCGCTGATGTTTACGATCGTCTTTATTCAATTTTTGATCATTTGTAACGAAGCGAATTTTCGCGGGCCGGAAATCGTGCAGCGTACCGCGAGAGCGGGGGGTATATTCGCGATCGTCGCGCCGCAGCGGAGAGGATTCTTGCCTGAAACTCCAAGGAGTGCGGAAGTGCTGGGGCTGTTCTTTTTGGGCTTGTGATTTTGAGAAGTGTGGCAGAAGTGCGCAGCTCGACCCTCCGACCACCGTAAGTACTTTCTGGGTCGTCTGCCCGTCTTAGTACCGGTTTTCGAATCGCCGCCCCCGAGCGATAAACCGTGTCACTGTCACCGCGTTTTTTTTTGTCACCATCGAAAGTCGAAAGCGTCGTGCACGCGTCGTTACCGTCACCGCGTTCCCCTCCCGGGTCGCCGTACCGTCTTCGCGCAATTTCCAGATCTCAAGGTCGCCGCCCCCAGAGCCAGAAGGAGGCCGTCCTAAGGGAAGTCGCCGCCCAGGAGGAACGACCGTGCCGGACGTTTAATTCTTTTTTTTTGTTGTAAAACCGTTTTATAACTATTTAAGTTGCTTAGCCGTAAGTTTTATTATTTTAGACCGTGTAGCTGGTGGCAGGGAATAAACCCTATTTATTGTATAAAATATTCTCGCCGTTTTATTTCTTATTCTCGAGTTTTCGCGGCGGCTCATCACCTGAATTCCGTGTCTCCGGCTTTAGAGCACCCCGGCGCTCCCCCGGAGCCCCGGAGAGAGGCGGCGTGAAGGTAGCCGCATAAGCTTGGTCGACCAGACGTGTTTCTGACATCAGCGATACTAGTCGACCCAAAGCTTGGCACTCAAGTACGCCGCCACCCCATACGTTATCGGCGAGATTCCGGACCGGGACGGAATTTCGTCGCATAATTTGGCGCCCGAGCAGGGACCTAAAGTGAGCCGCCTCCGGTCGTCCGCCGCCACCAGCTACGTTTTTGTCCGCTATCAGCGGGAGACCGTCGTTTTTGAGCGGTCTGTTTTTTTTTTGTCTCTGTCCGAAATTGCCAGAGAGAAGCGCCGTTATCTGACTTTTTTTTGTTTTTGTGCTGTGTTGTGGTCGCCGCCACTGTCCCCGAAGTCTCGTGACGCCATCAACCGTCTCCGTCAGAATTGGTGACGTCACAGAATGGGTAAAGAGGACCAAGGCCGGCCGCACCCAGCTCCGCTCGCGACGTGGGTCCACCAGCTGCAGCGTCACGAGCTGGAAGAAGCCCTGCGCGAAATTGGGATCGACGCCACTGGTTCCGTCGACACGCTCCGCCGGCGTTTGAAGGAATTTCATCTCCGTCGCCAAGCCGCAATCGACTAGGAGATGAACCTGGAGGAGTTGGCCACGTCTCTCCCGACCGTCACCGACGAGGTCGTGGACACCGTCATCCTGTCAAACCCCAACGCCTCCATACCGACGTCGACCATCGGGTACGTAGTGGCAAATTCGGCATCAGCGACATCGCTGACCTGGAGCATTGCGCTAACCGGGCCTGCCGTACCCACGCCCGTGATTTCACGACCAGTAATGCCAGCGCCGTTCCCATGGGCAGCCCCCACCAGCACTACAGGTGCCGTTCCCCGAGTCCAGTCCCCAGATGCCCTGTCACGACCTGCCGTCCCGCTGGAACTTGCTCATCCCGCCTCTGGAGAGGCCCCCAGGAGCCGACTCGACGAGCCAAGTACGTGGACGTACAGGGAACCGCACCGTCTTTCCCCATCGCCCTCACCGACAGCCACGAGACCAACTTCGCCGTCTCCGAGTCGAGAATTTCGACCGGTGCCACCGAAGCGTCCGTCTCTCGTGCCACCACCGGCACCGACACAGCCCCGTCGAAGTCGCCACTCGGTCCAGTCGTGCTACGCACAGCCGCGGGACACCCGTTGGGAAGCCCTGGACCTAGTGCGCAAGAGCCGTGTTCACTTCAACGGAGAGACCGACCCCATGGCGTTTCTGGAGCGCGCCGAAGAACTACAGAAACATTTTGCCATTGAACCGGACACGATGCTCACCGTGCTGCCGGAAATGCTCACCGATAAGGCGTTGGAGTGGTACCGTAACAACCGGGCCCTCTGCTACTCCTGGGACGACTTCGTCGAGGAGTTCCGGGACTTCTACATGCCGAATTATGAAGAAGTCCTGGAAGACCAGATCGTCAACCGTCGCCAACGACCTGGAGAAGCCGGTCGAGATTTCATACAGGCGATGCAAACCCTCACCCGCCGTCTGGGAGGGTATTCCCCACAGGCCGTCCTTCGTCGCCTGTACAGCCACCTGCTACCGGAGTACCGACAGTACATCCGTCGTAGAGACTTCCAGAGCATCGGGGAGTTGGTGAGGCTCATCGATGAGTATGAGCAGCTCCAGAAGGAAGTGAGGAGCCATTCACCAGTCCCACTACCGAATCGCGTCTCGACGACCACCCAGATCCCGGCTACCAGGTACGCGTACGCCCCTAGGTCTGAAAACCGTCCCATGCAGCCGTCGTCCAGGCCCGTGCAGCCATCCACGACACCACCGCGAAGGCTGGAGACCATCCGTCCCCCACCACCGTCGTCCAGGCCCATCCAGCAGTCCACAGGCGCCACCGGCAACACCGGAACCACCGTCAAATGTTGGAGGTGTGGAGAATCCGGACATTACCGCTCGGCCTGCAGGAAGCCACGCCGACTGTTCTGCTCCAGGTGCGGCCGAGGCGGAATAATGTCCCGAGAGTACTCCTGCAACCGAAGAAATGAGCAGGGAGTCAGTACAGCGTCCAGGACGATTCCGACAACCAGAGCAGCCACCCCCAACGCTGTCGCCGCCATCAAGTGTTGGAGATGCGGAGGAACTGGGCACTATCGTTCGTCCTGTTCGAATCCACCCCGCTTGTTCTGTTCGAGATGCGGACGAACGGGGGTAATGTCCAGGGATTGTTCCTGTATCCCGGAAAACGAGAGAGGGGCTGCACCGCGTCGAGGCCGCAGCAGCGCCCGTCTGACGAGACCTCGCCAATCATCGTGCCGTTGAAATTCCGTGACAACCGTCCCCATGTCTCCGTCACACTCTTTGACATCGTCCACGATGCCCTACTTGACACTGGAGCCGCCGGAACGTTCATTGGGAATGAAGCCGTTACCTTACTTAACCAGCGCAACGTTCTTCCCTTGGTAGCTCCTCGCGTTTTGACTCGCATGGCCAATGGCGACATTATCCCGTCCATAGGATCCTACAGCCTAGAGATGGAGATCGCCGGCATTCCCATAAACATCCGTGCTGCTTATCTTCCAAATCTTGCCACCGCCATGGTATTAGGGATGGACTTCCTGCGCGCCAACGCCATCGCCATCGACATCCCCCGGGGGACGCTAGTGTGGAATCGCTCTGAGTCGCAGAACACCCCTGCCGTGTCTACCGCGCTGCCACCCGTGCCCGGGCCGTCGGCAAGAAACCCGCGCATCCGACGCGCTCCAAACGACGCTGTGATTGACTGTGACGTCTGTTTCCAGATGGATAACCCGGTCGTACGGGATTTGGTAGCGGAGCTGCTCCGGGGAGAGGATTCCGCCGCCGCTGGACACCGCCCAAAGTCCCGGGGGATCCAGGTGGGACCCCCCATGGGGGCAGCTCCCCAGCTAGTCTCCCGCGGGTCCAGACAGACGGAGAGGCCCCCCGACAGGCCCGGTATGTGCCAGTGGACTAGGAGGTCTGCTGGCATTGTGCGCGACCGGGCCACTGTCGGGGCCAGTGCCCGTATCCGGCCGGCCCCAAATTTTGTTCCCGATGCGGCCTCGTGGGCACCACGTCCGCCGCCTGCCAGTGCGGCCTACCGGAGCGACCCCGCAGAAGCCGCCCCCGTCGACCGTCCTCTGGCGAAGTCCGGCGCCCCGTCTCTAGGGATTCCCCCCTGCCGTCATCCCGCGTGAGCCCATCTAGGAGGACCAATGCCGTGCGAGGACGAACCGGCAGCCGCCTTTGAGCAGCTGCCAAAGCCGAAGTTTGTGTATTTAATTTTTTTTCATTTTCTGTAGGGTGTTTTAGTGGGGGTGGGTAAGGAATAAAAAAAAAAGAAGTTACACTCCTTTTTTTACCGACGAAAGGGGGGAATGTAACGAAGCGAATTTTCGCGAGCCGGAAATCGTGCCGCGTACCGCGAGAGCGGGGGGTAAATTCGCGATCGCCGCGCCGCCGCGGCGGAAGAAGAGGATTCTTGCCTGTGACTCCAAGGAGTGCGGAAGTGCTGGGGCTGTTCTTTTTGGGCTTGTGATTTTGAGAAGTGTGGCAGAAGTGCACAGCTCGACCCTCCGACCACCGTAAGCACTTTCTGGGTCGTCTGCCCGTCTTAGTACCGGTTTTCGAATCGCCGACCCCGAACGAGAAACCGTGTCACCGTCACCGCGTTTTTTTTTTGTCACCGTCGAAAGTCGAAAGCGTCGTGCACGCGTCGTTACCGTCACCGCGCTCCCCTCCCGGGTCGCCGTACCGTCTTCGAGCGATTTCCAGATCTCAAGGTCGCCGCCTCCAGAGCCAGAAGGAGGCCGTCCTGAGGGAAGTCGCCGCCCAGGAGGAACGACCATGCCGGACGTTTAATTCTTTTTTTTTGTTGTAAAACCGTTTTATATTTATTTAAGTTGCTTAGCCGTAAGTTTTATTATTTTAAACCGTATAGCTGGTGGCAGGGAATAAACCCTATTTATTGCATAAAATATTCTCGCCGTTTTATTTCTTATTCTCGAGTTTTCGCAGCGGCTCATCACCTGAATTCCATGTCTCCGGCTTTAGAGCACCCCGGCGCTCCCTCCCCCGGAGAGGGAGCTGGCGCCCGAGCGACGGCCGCTCCTCACCGAAGGCGCCACCCCCGGCGGCGTGAAGGTAGCCGCATAAGCTTGGTCGACCAGACGTGTTTCTGACATCAACGATACTAGTCGACCCAAAGCTTGGCACTCAAGTACGCCGCCACCCCATACGTTATCGGGGAGATTCCGGACCGTCACCGGACCGTCCGTCCCATCATCCGGAATTTCGTCGCACATTTTGTTCCGAAATATATTCAACGACCCTCAAAATACCCAGCATGGTTTTCACCTAAAATTATCAAATTGATTAAAAAGAAATATTCCTCGTGGAAGAAAGCTAGAAAATCAGGTCTCACAGAAGATTGGGAAAAATTGTTCGGTTGAGAAGAATTGTAAAGCATGAATTAGAAACCTCACATAAGAATTTTGTGTCTTCTGCAGAAATAAATATTAATTCTGATCCGAAGCAATTTTGGAGATACATTAAACTGAAAAAGAGTAGCACAGAGATACCGCTTAATATGACATTTCGGAATGAACCAGTATCAGGAGGGGAGGCTATAGTAAACTCATTTGCAACGCTTTTCAAATCCTCTTTTCAGTCTGATTTTGGTGATCAACTCGGTGACGTTAATTCAGATTCTGTAAATAACATTAATTTTGGTAGTATTCGTGAAGAGAAGGTCTACTCTAAATTAAAAAACTTGAAACCGCAATTTACAGCTGGTGCAGACTTAATCCCTGCGTTTTTGGTTAAAGATGCAGCTTCTGTATTATACACTCCCTTAACATTTCTGTTTAATTTAGCCATTCATAGTCAGACATTTCCCGAGTGTTGGAAAACTTCGAAAATAATACCGTTATTTAAGAAAGAAGATAAGACTGCTGTAGAAAATTACCGACCAATAGCAATCTTAAATAATTTTGCCAAAGTATTTGAACAGATAATTTTCGATATTATTTACTACCAAATTAAAAACATCATAGTTGATAATCAGCATGGATTTATTCAGGGACGCTCTACAGTCACTAATTTAATGACTATTACACATTATATTGCTGTTAATCTGGACGAAGGATTCCAAACGGATGTTATATACACCGAGTTCTCCAAGGCTTTTGACTCTTTAAACCATAGGATTTTACTTCGTAAGCTTTCCGAGTTTGGTTTTTCGAATAGTGTGTGTAAATTTTTTCAAAATTATCTAGCCAGAAGGAATTATTTTGTAGAAAATTGCGGCTACAGATCGTTTAACTTTATAGCTTCGTCAAGTGTACCACAAGGCTCGGTACTGGGGCCATTGTTATTTAACATTTTTATTAACGACATAGTCATTTCAATTGTTCTGTTTTATTATATGCGGATGATTTAAAACTATATACTCGCATTACTAATGTCAATGATTGTCACTTATTGCAATCGGATCTTGATTCCTTGGTTACTTGGTGTGAGAATAACCATCTTTACTTAAACTATAGCAAGTGTTATATTTTATCTTTTACTTTGGCTAATGATCTCTTAAACTACAATTACAAGCTTAATGATCATATTTTAAGTCGTCTATCACAACTGAAAGACCTGGGAGTTAACTTTGACACAAAGTTATCCTTTACGGAGCATGTTAGATTAATTACATCAGATGCAATCAAAATTCTAGGCTATATAATCCGGAACAGCAGTATGATTCATAATGAAGCAACACTAAAGTTGCTATATTATACATACGTGAGAAGCAAACTCGAATATGCATCCTTAATTTGGTTCTCACATTTTAAAACTTATCAGGAGATGATGGAAAATGTACAGCGTCGTTTTTTCAAATATTTAAATTTTAAAATTTTCAAATATTATCCATCCAGAGGGTTCTTTGCTCAGGCGATTCTCTGCTATACGACTTGATGAACGTCTATGTATTAGCAGTGTTATCTTTTTCGTTAAACTTATAACGAATGCAATCAACGCTCCGCAACTGTTGCGATTATTTCAGTTCAATTCCATGGACATGTTACAATCCTGCCGATGGGGTTTTGAGGAAGACCAGCTGCTCGAAGTCTTCATCTCGGGCTTTTTGGATACGGTCTGAGTGTAGTTCGAGATGGCTCGTTTGACGGGGTCGCGCACTATGACGAATGAATACATCAATTTGTGCATTTATTCCGCTTAATTTGTCCTACAATAATCATCACACTGGATAAAATAATTCAGTTTGAGTTGTTCGTTGATTTCTGAGAATAATTTCTAATTTCATTTTGACATTTGGAATTTGCATGGTTATTCCAAAGACGCCATCGCCGAACTTCGACAGTGCGACGGAACATTTCGCGACAAATCGGATCGGGCGCGAATTTCAAAATACGATTTTTAAAACCTTTTTACAGTGAATGAGCGCGATGCAACGATTTGAAAAAAATACTGGCAGATAGCCCTCTTCGACCTCCACAAATGCATCACTCAATAATAGCTTTAAAGTGATCTGGGGAGATATCATAAAATAAAAACCAATTCCCATGTTAATTCCCTATATCCAGACTTGGATGCGGCACCCTGTATTAAGTTATATTAAGTTATTTTTGTCTATTTTGTATTCTGTTATTGGGGTAAAACCTGTTGAATACAATAAAATTATTATTATTATTATTTATGGATCAAAACAAAGTCTAAAGGCAGTTTTTCTTGAAAAGATCAAATATAGAATATATACCTGGCAAAGTTTGATTCAGAACTGCCCCTTATGATTCCTTATTATCATAACTCATGTATTACTAAAGTGACCAGACGTCCCGTTTTGAACGGGACTGTCCCTTTATTGGACCACCTGTCCCGTTGTCCCCATATAATGATCTGGAACGCAAAATTGTCCTGTTTTCTAAAACCGCGCATCACCATCAATATTAAAGCAAATTTGTTCCTCCGAGAAATATAAATACGACTAAAAATATAATATTATGTTGCAATTTAATAATTACTGTCACATAAATGGTGCTTTACTTTAATGAAGCTGGTGATTGCTTCTTATTTTTCATAACTACTTATAATACAAAAAATATTTTTAATTTTTGTGAACATAAAATAAAGAAAGAAAATTAAAAAGTTGTGTTTATTTTTATTGTTAACCTTCCCACTGGGGTATGTTATGTTATGTATGTATGGTATATCTATATTCTATATTAGATTTATTTTATTAGTAGTATGTATGGACGTCCCGTTTTGACTTAAAAAAAAATGGTCAGTTTATGTATTACTATTAGTTATGTGTTACTTTCACTTGAATTTCTTGTGTTTTATGTGTTATTTTGTAGATAAGTTAGAGCGATCAAGGTCGATCATTGGTGAGGTTGGCCGAGCTGTAAGCGTAGAATTTAAAAATTCCCGCTAGTTGGTCTAACGGTTCTGCCAACCGAGAAAAATGCAATATAACCAGATAGATCGATCATGACGACGCGCTATGTTTTTTATGTGTCTAACCGTTTTGTTCCGAAGTTTGTTTGTTTTCAATATATTGCACATTTAACACTTTATGGGCGCATTATTCGTTCTTTTAAACGTATTCTAATGAATCTTACCCGGATCTTCTTATTTTTTCGCTAATATTTCTGAGAAGTTAAACTCAAACTGGATACTAGACATGCCTCATCTAAATCTTACCACTACAACAGCTACCACGAAAGAGATTCATTCCCAGATAAACACCCCCACAGTACCATATGCCGACATTTATGGATTCCACGGCGACTCACTTCTGCTGCTGTGGAATATCCTTTTGTCTATTGCTGTTTTATATTTACTTTTCCATAACCGCTTCCCTGGCTTAACTGTAATACTGCAAGCTGCGCCCATCAATGCAACAGATAAAGTAACCTACCATCATGATATATTATTTTGGACTGCTCATTTCGGGGAATGTTATTTTTGTAATATACTTTATATTTCGGCGCCTACTGTCGCGCCATCGTAGCAGGGCTAGCACCTTGAGGAATTCCTCCGGCACAGATTCAAATCTATTTAGAGTATATTTTGGCAACCAAGAAAATTTTGAAAGATTTTAACAGGGCAACAGTGTCGACATTTCACTGAATGCAGTTTAAATTTTTAGGAGATTTATGCTGTGGGTATCGTAAAACTCATAGATGAATGTCCTGTGAACTTTAAATTGTTTTCTAAAATGGCCTCGTTTACATTCATTTTGTTTAATAGTTTTGAGTGGTCATTCCAAATTCCATAATACGTAATAAGTATAGTACTTTTTTTTCTAATTTAAAATAACTTATGTCTTATCTTAGAAATTTTGTGTTTATATTTAGTGTTGTACTTAAAATTAGAACAGTGCGTATGCCTGAGTTCTGGCGTTGTAATTTACAAATTAATTTTTTATCCTTTGTAGTTTATTAACCATTATTTTTATTTATATTTTTATTAACTCGTAAATATTACTTACACTTACACTTTTGTATTTTGTTTTCGGTTGTGATATCTTGGACTGGATAACCATAATGGCCTGCAAGCTGAGTATAGATGGGCAACGTTTACTTCGGCACTAAGCAACTACGCAGTACACACCAAACACCTCTATGTCGACATAACGCAACCACAAGCCGGGTTACGTCAAGATCTTACACCCCACGGATTTGCCACGTCATACACAGCACCACTTCGGTACCCGAGCTAATATATCATCATCCGCTGGCACCACCTGCTTAGCTCAAGCGATAGGATCCACACTCCACTAGTTATGCGATTTTTGCGGTTCACAACCCTCATTTGGAGATGTCCGTAATTCAAGTGACCACGTCCGTACCATAGGCTGTCGTTGGTGGACTATCGCTAAGCCCCTGCAAATGTGACTGTGAGTGTTAGTGCTGACGGTGAGTCTTGCAGTAGCCTTGACTACCCACGGACATTGGTTATCCAAACCCGGTATATACAACAAATTCTCCTTCAAGAAAAAATGCATAGTGACATTTTGTTATCAAAAGGTTGTTCATGACTGTTACTCCGCTTCCAGGAACTTTTTTTTACTGTTCTGATATTTACATGTTTTTTTTTTTTTTTGGTTTTGTTCAGTTGTTGGGCTTTTAAATGAATTGTAGTCATATTTTATATTTTACCGTTTATATATATATTGCATTTTTATTCTTAAACTTATTTTAATCGCAGTGGGTCCAGCGATTTTTCGAAAAGGGAGGATATGTCATATTGAACTTTTTGGGTTTTTAAACTTTCGACATTCCTCTCTTCAGGAAATCGCCCAGCCGCGACTTCCTGAAGCTTGCAATAGATTGATGAACTGTGATTTTGCAAGCTCGGCACTAGAGAGTCTTCCTGGGCTCGTAACGGAGCTTCGAGTCTGTGGGGGCCCACGGCGACATAAGCTAGATAAGTAGTTTTAGTAGTTTTTTTTTTTTGGTATAAATACATTTTCTTTTAATTTTTTTTCCTAAAAATTTTGCAGTTTCATTTTTTTATCTTTCCAGAGTGTGCGGTTTTATTTAACTTTTTATTTCAAGATTGACAATATTCGCAATGTGGCATCAATTTTGTTTAAAACAACGAGCGGAATCTGCAATCAAGGGCGCACCACGATGTAAAGCACATTAGCGGAATCTTTCTTGCCACTGCAAGTATGTTGTGAAATATAATACATGCAATCAGTCTTGTGAAAACGAAAAAGACAACTTGCAGAAGCAAGCAAGCAATGAAAACATCGAAGAAGAAACCGAATCTCCTATCTCAGCCAAAATTTCAACACTAGATCCCAACACCAGCAGACTAGGTGCCGACTGGAGACCACAGCATGTAAATAGCTCAGTTGACGATTTGTCTGATGAGGAAGACCAATTTCAAGAAATACAAAATTTAGTGACAACTCCAAATTACGTGTGGTTTTTGGGGATGTACCGACTGTAGGTTTGGCCGACTAACCGACTAGCCGATTGTTCGGCCAGAAAAAACCGACTAGTCGGCCGATTGTTCGGCTTCGCCAAAACCTGTTTATAAATGCGATAGACAGTGTGTTTTTCTTTTCTATTTCTATCTAAAGATTTGCTTTATTTTGATAAGAGGAATAACTAAAGTTCCTTTGTTTTGCAAAAAATGTATAAAGTTTGTTTGGATAGTTTTAACATTAAATAAAGAATAGCACAATTTAAGGCCAGTTTATACAATATTTTAACTGAAATTAAGTTGATCACGCATTTAACAAGGCCATTAGCGACGTTTGATTAGCATAGATTCGGTCACATGGTACTTTAACACCGTGTTAAATATTTAATCGCAATTAAATATGTATTTAATTGAGCTTCTGTAAATCGGGTTTAATTGTATTGTGGCGGCACAATAACACGTCGGTAAGCGGAGAAAGATAAGTGGCCCCGTCGTCTAGTGTTCAGGACACCTGCCGGGCAAGCGGGAGGCGTGGAGTTCGATTCCCACCGAGGCAACAACAATTTTCTTCGCTTACCTACAGTATTATATACTATTTTAATTTTAATAAAAAGAGCCGACCGATCGGCTGTTTTGCCGACCAGTCGCCGACTGCCAGCCGACGATGAAAAACCGGTCGGCCACTAGTCGGTACATCCCTAGTGGTTTTTGAATGGGGCAGCCTGCGATCGTTTTCCATGCACTGGGAATACAGGCATACATGCCGATTTTGTGCCGGGATCAGACCCGCTAGAATACTTTGAAAATTTTAGCACCAAGGATCTTGCAGAAATGACTGTCCGTGAAACAAATCGTTACGCTAACCAACAAATTCGTGAAAAAACAGAAAAGAGTAACTCAAGAAAGAAACTAATTCGGACACCAATATTTTACGACGGAGAAGCGATTTTTTTACTATTGAGGTTTTTACATTTTTGCAATAATGAGACATATAAGACGTCGTTATACATACCGGAGGATGACGTTTCAGTAGACGAAAATATTTGGCTTTAGAAAGGTCGCCTAAGTTGAAAAATGTATACAGCAAAAAAAAAAGAGTGCGATTGGGGATGGAATCATACAGACTTTGTGAAGCTAGTACTGGTTATGTCTGGAAAATTATCGTTTATACTGGTAAAACTACTGAATTTGCCTCAGTAGTTCATGGGCGGGATATGCCGGAAATGACAAAACCTACAAGAATAGTGTTGACGCTTGCAGCTGAATTGCTAAATCACGGATATAGGATTATGATGGATGACTTATTAGTACTTATTACCCTTCATCGGAAATGTTTAGCATTCTTTGTGACTTCAACTCTAATGCTTTGGGTACTATCCGACTAAATAAAAAGTTCCTCCCAAAATCTGTGACTAAAAAGCAATTGAAAGGAGGTGAGTACTTTGCTGCTTTCAGTAATCAGATGATGTGTTTGAAGTGAAAAGGTAAGAAAGACGTGACAATAAGTACAACTCATGCAGCCGGTATGGTACTAATTCAGAACTGAACAGGTGATCATTTAAAAAACCCGCTAATAGTGCTAACGTTTTGTATTTTAGTATGTGCCAATTTATTCAATTACAAAAAAATTATTGTGGAGTATTTTAAGTTCAAAACAGACAATTACGAGTATTATTTAGTGAACGGTGAATATGAGTGTCAGAAGTGGTTTTACATGTGCATATATTGCACCAACAACACGAGGAAAATGAAATTGTTTTTCTGTAAATTTAAAGACATTGTCATCCTGTTGACAATTATTACATACCATTTGTTTCAAATTATTACAGATCTGATAAACATGTAAAGGCTTGTAAAAGACAGGATTTACTAAAAAAAAACGACTTGAAGGTTATTTTAATTACAAGGTGTGTTGCAATCATTTTTCTAATTCAGATTTTACAAATAATTTGCGAAACAGATTAAATTTAATGGCATATCCAAAAAGTCCAACTGAAATTAACGGTAAAAATCTCTGTTATCAATTCATATCCACTGTGTATTTGTTTAATTTTAGAGACTACTTAACAA